TTTTTTTTTTTTGCATTTGTTATTCAATGACAAAACACAAACTTAATATTATTTTGGCATTTACATTCAAATTAAACTATCTATTTGAAGACAAATAATTAATTAAATTAGAAAAGGCAAGTAACACATTAAATTATTATTTTTTATTTTTATTTTTTTTTGTAAAACTTACTCAAATGAGCTTTCTTTTATTTACAACTTACAAAAGGTGAGATGATCACAAAAACTCGTTGGCACTTTCCACGAATATGTCCTATGCCTTTTATGAAAGCATTAGAGGCAAAAGTCTAACCCTAACCCTAAGACAAGTGAATAATCAATTTTATGTTTGCAATTTTTACAGAAATTGTGTCTAAAGCATTTCACTATTTTTTTTTTAACCTTGTCATCCAAGTTTATATAAGAAAACTGGCAAACTTAGTTTTATTTAGTTAATGAGAAAATATAAAAAGAGGAGTCCCAGATTTTGATATTAGGGCTGTAAAAATGCAAACTTTGTATAAAATTAACAAAAAATTCAACAGCTCAAATGCATTTCGGTCAAGCACCTCCTTTCACTGACTATTTGTTGAAAAAGGGGGAAAAATAGTTTCAAGACCTATTATCTAACCTATTCGTGGAAAGTGCCTGCTTTATTTATTTATTTATATTTTTGTGTTTTACTGAATTCAGACTGTGGATGTATGAGGATTCAAAAATTAATGTTCCCATATTCTCATAGTCACATATGCCATATCTGTTAAAGCTGTAGAACCCCTGTCAGCCTCAGACATCAATCTTTAAAATGTAGAGGCATTGATAAATATTTCAGCATGGCCACTGTCATTTTAAGACAGACTGTTTGCTACTCCCAAGAAAACAGCACTTAGAAACAGTAATACTGTAAGAGTGGATTCATGGGACATGAGGGAACTCGTGTCTGTCTGTTTTTAATAGTCCCGCACAGGTACAGAGGAGCACAGAGCACCTTCTCACAGTTTACAGGCATCTTGGTGAAAGCTGGATCCTGAATTATTGACAGCTTTTTTATGTATTTATTTATTTATTTTTTTTACTATTTTTAAGGCTATACAGAAACATCCATGTGGTGCCAGCTTTTAAAATACACAAGTCACATACTGATCTCTTCAAATTAATGTAGAACATCAGAATAAAAAAAAAGCTTTACTTTGACAAGGAACACAATTTTTAGCCCCCATGATCATGCTTTTGTGAGAGTAAAGAGTAATGGATAATGTACAGGTAGCTGCTCATTATTAATACTAGATCATCTCCAATAGCATTGGATACTAGATCATTTATTTGGTTAAAATTGATGAAAATTGATTCACCCTCAGGCCATCCAAGATGTAGATGAGTTTGTTTCTTCATCAGATTTAGAGAAATGTAGCATTGCATCACTTGCTCTGCAGTGAATGGGTGCCGTCAGAATGAGAGTCAAACAGCTGATAAATACATCACAATAATCCACAAGTAATCCACACCACTCCAGTCCATCAGTTAACATCCTGATGCAAAAAAAAACATGTTTGTAAAAAGCATATTCCATCATTAATATGTTTTAACTTCAAACTGTTGCTTGCGAATCCATAATTTCCATTTTTGGTCAACCATTACTCTTTTGGGTTACTATTTCAAGGACTAGTTAACTAATGTATTTATCTACTATATAACATGTCTTTCTATATTTAAATATCCCTCCATACAGAACCGTGCAGAAATATACTCTCAATATAAAGGGCAATGCAAACATTTTCTTCAGATTATCTTAAATAAAATAACCCCGATGTCATATCAAGAATATATTTTTTTTTGTACATTTGTCACTTTCTCTTATATTCCCTCTAGAAGATAGCCTATGATTTCCATTTAAACTGTATACATTCTCAACTAATGACATGACAGCCTACTGTAACACACACACACACACACACACACACTCACACACACACACACACACACACACACACACGCATGCACACACCAACAAACAGAATCACATGCATCTTTCACTGCTTTAAATAACTACAAGGCCTTTTCCTTCATTACTGAAGCATGAAATTCCCTGAAGCTAAATGTGAAAAGCCCATTCAGAAAAACGGATGGGTAAATTAAATTCCAAGTTCTGTGAGTTTTACGTGGGCAAGTAACACATTTTCTTCATGAAATTTAAACACCTCTTAATGAGATCATGCAGTTATATAATTCAACAGCATAATGTAGAAGCAACACCGCTGGATAGCACTCACCCACAGCGGTAAAGCAGTCAAATAACATAGTTTATATATACAGTTGTGGTCAAAATTTTACATACACTTTGCAGTATCTGCAAAATGTTAATTATTTTACCAAAATAACTGCCTGCTGAACTCATAATGAAATTACATATTTCAAATCAGTAACAAAATCTGACATGATTTGGCCCATGAATGTTGTTTCTTATGCTCAAATAGCGTTAAAAAGCTTATGTTTCAGTCTAGACCAGCCAAAGCGCATGTGCCGTCATGGCGCGAGTCTCAGGTTTCTATTGGGATCGGAGCTTCTAACGGCAGCTGCAGTGACGCAACGACTTTACCAGTCAGCGATTGGCTGTTTCATGCAGAAGACTTTTTGGAGCCCACTGCATTTATAAAATGCAAAATGTAGGCCATAATTATGTATCTCTGCCATTTGAGAGGAGCTCTATCTAAATTATTCTCCTTGTCTTTATCTCTGTTATTGGCTTCTTCAGCACATTCTTGTAACCTCAGGCTAGTGCTGTTTGAGAGCCGTCCACCAATGAACTGACCACATCACAGTCACTCACTTCTCATTATGACCGCTGACGTGTGTAATAGATGAGAATATTAGAGGCCATACTCACACAGAATACGTTTTTCCTTTCCACTGTGCTACTTTTCCATGGTTTTCCTATGTAAGCATGCACGTGTTTGACTTGCGCTCGCATCTCACATCTTCTATGGCATCTCACGCATGACACGCGGTGCATCCGAAATCGTATTCTGTCTGAGTAGGTATCTGAACAATTCCCTGTACCAGCAGGAAATGTAGGTGGGGGAAGTGAATGAACAGCGCTCTCTTCCACACTC